TTAGTATTGTATCGGTGGCTCATCTCTTGGGTTCTGTCCAACCCGTTACTGAGCGATCATTTGTTTGAAAGGACCCCTGCTAGCAAATAAACAGTTTCGTACCCTAACTCACGGGAGTAAACAGAAACAACTGTTGACTTCCACTTCGTAGCGAAAGGCATGGAGGGTAACGGAAAACAGATTGAATGGTTTTGAATTGAAAATATTCGGACTAGACTTCTGTTTTCTACTTTAAACTGGCACAAACATCCCACTTTCCCGTGTAGTTAAATAATAATGCCTTCGTGGTAGCCCTCAACATCCTCTTCATCGCATATATTGATGCAAAAAAAGGACTCCAACACTCACCGCAGAGCCAAGTAACGGTACCGACCTAGTTCTTCTAATCTTCCTTTGAAGGGCCCTATTCTAACTTGTTGAATTGTATTAGTCACGGTTCTTGACGGATTTAAAACTCGAATTTTAATGATAGTCTCTCCTTCGTAGGGCTAACTGTTCCTGGTCTTTTGTGGTCATTCAAATAGAGCCTTAACATTTTTCGTGGGCGGTAGATTGACAGTCCCTTACTTTCGCCGCATAGTACCTATAGGTGCATCTCCTTGAAGACACTTTTCCATTGATAATTTGCCTCGAATTCTCATGCGCTTGCATGCCCAAGACCGCATTTCACCTTGACGGCATTGCGTTTGCCCATGGTATATTCCGAAAATTATTCTAGTCATCCTAAGCTTGGTCGTATGAGATAGCGTCCAAAAATTGGAATTTTCCTCCTCTTCTGATTTCTTTTAATTTTACGGGCGTTTTTTGCACCCGATTTGCTGACTAGCTTGCAACCAATTCATTTCGCTTAGCAGTTTTGATGAAACAAACCCATCTTAACAAGCGTTGGTCGATTTGTTCTGGGTTTTCGAGAACGACAACTGATACGCTCTATCATGATTTGTTGTTAAAGAGTCGCAGTCTTCATTGAAAGCGTTCCTACGTTGCTTTTTCGGACCTTGTATTTCGTCCGTACAGTAAATTGCTTGACAAAAGTG